TTCCACACTTTGGGGCGGGTTCACGTATGCAGTCCAATCGGATGACTGTCAATTAGAATTTGGAGTACAATGATGGAGCCATGTTGCAACCATTGCGACATATCGAAGCAAAAAGTCAATTTACTACGCTTGAACATCTCCAAACCCTGCTTCGAATCATCAACTCACCCTTGCTTTTGGTCAAGAGTGAGCTCGCACGTCACTCAACTCATAAAGAGCTTTCTCATACCCAAAAACTCGTGAATGATATGACAGGGGCGGATCCACAAGGGGGACGGGTGTCATAACTCTCCGCAAAAGCTAAAACATATAGATTATTTCCACCATAATTGACAATCCGCAAAGAAAAGGACTTAAGGTTGCAATTACAAACTTATATAGGACCCAAACCATAAGTTGCTTATTCAAAAATGCTATATCTCAACAACTAATGGTACACGTATCTTTTATAGACAGGGAGTGACTAAAAACTAAAGAAACATTATGTTTTAATATCAAAACATTCCTAAAATTCTACGTCACCGTCACGACATACGCTCAGGACCTGTGTCGGATTGCACTTCCAAACAGCATCAAAAAAAGCTTATATCTGTCGCCTCTCAAAACGATTTGTTAAACTTCTCGCACAATTTTTGTTATGAAAATGCCTTTCAGAATATCAACAGCTGTCCATCAATGCGAGAAGAATCTCTGCTAAACATCAGATCACCCATAAGCTTGATTTTTTTTAGGTTAAAGTTTCCAAGCAGCGCCTCCTTAGACTTTATTTCCGAAAATCGTTTTCAGGTTTTCTGCTTCTGACACCACTGTGCAGTTTCAGTTATTGAAAACAATATCATTTCTTGGTTTGTTGTAATATTTTTGCTTACGGTTTACGGCAGCATTGTGGTGATGGTGTAAAATTATTGCAGTTATTCGAAGCTTATCGCAACTGCCATCTGCCAATCCACTTAGGCAGCGCCGATGCTGATATTTTAAGCCCCGGCCATGATGAGGTTGATGATGATGTTATTAATGATGATTGCCGCTTTGATGGCGTTGAGGTGAGTGTTTTACCTGCCAATATACATATGTACAACAGTTTGTTGCTGTTGGTGGTGTCACACTTAAATGACAAGGTACTGGGCGCGTCTGGCTGCCGTAAAAAAGTAGCCACCGTCACCGAGCGGTCAGCTGATTCACACCGCTTTCCATGCAGATTGCACAAAATTATGCAAAGCCGCAGCCACTTAACACTTTGCGCATGTATGTATATATGTATATATATATGTGTCTGTGTGTGTGTGGTTGAGTGCGCCAGCGTGTAAGCAAACATACGGACAAGTGTGTGAAGTACTTAATTGCAACTCGTTAAAATCACTTGCTTACCAACAAGTTGACGTTTATATCGCCGACCAAATGAAGTTACAACGCTGCGCTTAATACCGTTAATCGTAAATTCAACTCGTTGGCTAATGGTCGTTCGGCGTTGATGAGTGCGTAAATTAACCCAATTGGTTTTGAAATTCAAATGAATTGGCTGTGACAAATCGCCTCACAGCAACGCGAGTGATAACCGCAAGATCCGATGCGCGGCATTGCAACTGTGGTTTGTCACTGCTTTCGGCTACCGCGCGTTGAATCACACGCCCGCGTTAGTAGGGCACATTAATTTCAGTAAGTGCGCACTGGCAATGAAGTTGAAGCAGAAGCAGCAGCAGGTTTGGATCGTATATATATGTATGAGCCACAAGACGGCCAATAGTTTGGCTGCGAAGTCAATTGCACGACAACAGCATCCGCAACGGCATTGGCGCTGATGGCTTAGTCGCTGCTGTTACTGAGTCACAACACCACAGCGGGCGCAGCGGGAAGGCGAATTTGAATGAGAGCGACTGATTTGCAGCGCCTAATGTGCACGCACAGCCGGCAAGGGCAGGCCAGGAGTCCGGCTTACTTACTCAACGTGCGTCGTAGTGGGCGCCACTGGATGCCGCTGAATCAGCGGATATGCGGCTGCCCACTGCTGGCCACGCTTGCGCATATATTTTGAACTGTCGACTGTGTGTTTGCAAACAATTGCTCAAAATGTGTGTGTGTGTACACCTACAGGACTCACACTGTGCACCCACAGCCACCATATCCTTTTGGCCACAACAGTGGTGAGGCAGCGGCGACGGCAACGGCGACGGCGTCGACCAACACCAACTGCGCGCGAAAAGAGCATTTAATTTAATTCCTTCGGATGGTTGCGTACCGCGCTGTGTTGCCACTGACTCGCCACATGCCACAGTGGCAGTGTGCAGCACAAAAGCAACTGACACAAATCTCTGCCAGCCCCTTGCCAATACTCGGTAGAGAAATGTGTGCGACGCAATTCGTCTGCTCAGGAGGCGGCCCTACTGCCAGCATTACGTCTATGCTGAGGTTTGTTTCTGCTTCAGCTCGGTCTGTACGCCTTCACTTCACTGGAAAACCACACGTGCCAATTTAGCCCACATGCGGCAAGCGACCGATAATAGCAACAACAAATATTACAACAACACACGCATTTGTTTGTATGTAGTTAGGCACTGAGTTACACGCTAACAGTGATTTTCGCCTGCCTACCTGACTCTGCGCATCTTGAAATTCTTTGGCATATTAACCGCAGGAGGGAGGAAATCTGCTGCCGAGGCGTTGGCATGTGGAGCATGCGCGCACGTCGACAAAATACTGCGAACGCACGGGTGGCGCAGCAAGCACTTTCAACCAAGTATACACGCCGTCTTATACAGATAAATTGTCCAAGTGTGCGCTGGGTATTTGTGCGCATGCGCATCGCTTGTAGCGCAGCAGTACGCAAACGGTAGCCAAATTCATTCGTTTCGCATTTGGAAACTGCTTCATTACGTAGCCGCTGGCCTGGCCCACGATCACGTTCATTTACACACATACGAGTACATACTTACATATAGACATATTTTATATTTACCTGTGTAAAAAAGTAAACATATCCGTTTAGAAGGGTGTTTTCAAGCGCAAGTGACCATTGGCGTGATAGTCAATCCCTCACAATTCGCTCAGAAAAATGAGTGATATATTTAGAAATAATATAAACTTTGTCATTATCGGCTCAGCTCATATGCGAGCAATTAAAATGTTAAATGTATCAGAATGAAGACTTCGAAAATGGAAATGGAATAAGTCATGAATAGATTTTCCCTGAAAGCTTTCAATTTTCTAAATGCTCTAGGATGTCAATTGTGGAAAAGATCGATAAAATGAAGTTGTGTGCCTTATCGATAATATGGGGGTTCATACCATAGCCTAAAATGTGAGTGACTCAATAGTCAACGCACAGAAATCTCATAGACTGTATTTCCATCTGGGAATCAGTGGTATGTAGGTTAATTTAGGTTATTATATTAGATATACAGGCTGATTACTCGTGAGGTCATGATAATCCCACTTGAACAACTAGTGACGCTTATACAATGTCATGCCCAGAACTCCAAGGTATGGATCCAAAAGGCGGTCACCAATCGACAAATCATTTTCAGCCTGACACAAATTTATTACACAATGAAATGGTTGCTGAGCTCGTGCGAAGATCTTAGATCCAGCGCCCCAATGCATTAAGAAAGGGAAATCCTTGCTATCCCCAACCTGGTGAAAATTGGGTATAGATGCGTTTTGTTGCAAACTTATCAGCTTTACAATTTACGACGATTTCGCTTCGCCAAGCACGCAGACGAGTTTACTTTCTGTCGAAGTTGTTTGATGCAACTCCTAGTGAGGTCTGTATAACAGCGCCCCTGTGTTATCGAGCTCAAAACCTGTAGAACAGCTCTTGCTAAAAGAAGCCGCTTTTCAGTGAAGGACATCTAATGCTACGTTGATGGCGGCCACTACTGCTAGAAAGACACTACAGTGGTCTGGTCTTTGCCCAAGTCACTTATCTCATCTGTATATCAAGCAGTCAATTAGATTTTCTATTTCTTTGTTTTTTCAAGCACATACTTTTTCTGAAATCAGCAAACTCAGTTAAAATTCATCCTATACTTTTCTAGAAATCTTCAAACCTTCGTCGATTTTTTCCAACAGAGGAATGTACACTGAGTAGCTACACATAGTATTCTTCGCAAGTTCCGAAACCGAAATTTTCGCATTTTGTCTGTCGGCCGCAGCGTCTTGGTTTTTCTTCGTCATCTTTCAGTTCTGAAACAATTTCTTTCGTGTCTGAATCAATGGATCGAAATGTTCCCAGCTTTTTGTCTTCGTATAACCCTGCGACAATATATAATATCTTGTTTATGGGAACAAATCTTCTTTATCAGCAATGGAGCCATATGTGGAAGTTCATGCAAGTGAGTAAAGTTCTCAGAGCCCCATTCACTAGGGAGTGACCAGAAACGATTCTTTTACATATGGCTCAAGCAACTCACGACTTCCAGTCTTAGACCAAGTATCCTCTGGGTAGCCAAAGAACATCCGTTTGAAGGCGAGCTAAAGTAAGAACGCGAAACCTCCCATCCACAGGGTTGTGCGCTGGATTTGGGTTCTGACACGTAAAAAAGACCCTAAATGAAAAGATACATATATGTATGTATATCATTGAACACTAAATTGCCCACCTGAAAGACCTTTAAACAACTTCAATAAAATACACAGATTATTTTTTTAAATTTTATTTATTATTTATTATATGTAATTTATTAATTAATTATATTTAATTAAGGAATTCATTCAACTGATAGTTTGCAATTAATTATCAATTAATTAAAAAATATATATATAATTAATTTTTTTTATCATATGGAATTGGTAAGCCATCGTATTACGTAATACATTGTATAATAATATAGTATAAATAATGAAAATCAAATAAACATTTTAAAATTAAATGTACGCAAGACATGTACATACAATCTTATTGCAACATACCGAAAGCATTTGCGTTCACAATTCGTTCGTCTACAATTCTCACTGCGTTTAACAATTTCCCTTTCGCTTTTTCGCTTTTTCAAATAACTTAATTCTTGTATGTATGTGTTTATTGTGTGTGTGTATTAGTAAATAATTATTTCATGTCTATAATACTCGTAATTGCCACGAGATAAGTCTTAAATGTGGAGACAATTCAAGAGAATCGCGGGGCACAGGCGGCGCAGAGCGAGCGGCAAGTAGGAGACTGCATGCAAACGCTACAAAATGCTGACATATTTAATAGGCATCGCATCATTACCACTACATACATAATCGTTACTTGAATAGTGCACATTTCCTTCTCATTTATATCAAAAAGCTTAAGGCGATCGAAGCCGACAAAACTCAATATTTTTTTAAATTAGTTTGATTAAACTTTTTTTTTTTGTTTTTTTTTTTGTTTTTTGAAAATTAGAAAAATAATAAACAAGCGCTTAAATAATTAGAGGAAAGCTTATGGGCGTACGCAGAGAAGAGGGAGGTGAATTTGTTTAACAAGAAAATTAGAATTTTTATAACAAACAGAGGATAAAAAATATAATATAATATAATAATACAGCACAGGCACAGTGCACGCTTAGCAGGAGGAGCGCGCCAGTGGATGTTGTTGCAACACGATGCGTTGCTGCGGACGCGTGAGCATGCGCGCCAAGGCGAAAGCACTGGTTGGGTATTTGCGAGCGCGCGCTGCCGCTTGAAAACACAGCAGGCACTCCTGTTGAGGCGCTGGACAACGCTGATTTGCTGACATTGCACGTACGAAAGTATTTGCTGGGTATATGTGTGTGTGTGTGTGCTTGTATGTGAAGATGTGAAGTTGAAAAGTTTACTGCAAAGTTTGTTGCGCGCTTATGACTCATGCTTGGTGGCTTGTGACAAGCGAAGATTTCTACGCGTTGCGGCTGCTTCTTCGTTCGGCGCTGGATGTTGGGCGCGCTGCGTGGCGCTGAAGTTAAAAAACGCAAAAAGTCGTCGCTTAATTGCGCTTTCGCAACAGCGCCGCAGTTGAAGTCGATGTGGATGTTGTTGTTGGTTTTGTTGTTGTTATTAAGCGGAGTTAATTGTATCGAAGGCTGTTGTGGCACTGTTGGTATACGTCCGAGGCTCTTGGGTGGATCTATGTGGCATGCTGTTGTTGTACATATGTACTTACTTATCTACTGTTATTCCAGTTGGGTAATTAGCTGAAGCATTGGCTGCGCTTTGTTACGTACATGTACATACGTATAGGAGTTGTTTTTGGAGTTTTTGCGGGCTTTGCTGGCTTGCTTAGTACATGCGTCCGCAAGTATCCATGTGCATACTTCTGTAGCAAAACAAAAACAGCTTTACACATGTGTATGTATGTATATATTTATTCCTGTAATGCGGTGCATTTCATATTTTGTTGGAATATTGCGTAAGTGTTGTGAATGCTTGTATGTATGTGCGTACATGTTGGTGGAAACATCCGAAGCGTCCTTGCGTCTTGTGTGCCACACAGCGTGTACGCAATGAAGGAGCTCGAATGCTAATGAACTTAGTGCTTTTCATATACATTACAATGTATATATGTTTATATATACAGTTGTGGAAGTGCTTATATGCTGATGTATGTATGTGTATGTGTGCAATATTTTCCGTTTTTCCAAGTGCAGAATGCAATGAGTGCTATGAGTTTGTGCTTATGATAGAATGTGTGTGAAAAGAGTTGTTCCACCACTCACCAAACTGCCAGAGACTGTGGGCAATTAAGTTGATGCGCAAGCAACCGCTTATTTGTATGTATGTATGTATTTGAAGGCTTACTTTCTTTGAAAGTCCGTTTAGGGAAGCTTCACTTAAACTGCCGCCGTCAATAAAACCAATCACCAAAAGTTCAATTCAAACATTTCCAAGTCACCAAAGAGCCCATACACCACCGCGGAGGCCGAGGCTACGCGCCGCCACATGGAGGTCGGTTGCAGCGCCGCGCCATGAGCGTTTACAAGATTCACAGTCTGCTTTACTTTATTATTACATATTTAAATATTTTGCCAAATTATTGTTGCTGTTGTTTTTGTTTGTTTGCGTGCAAAGTGCAAGTGGTGGTGAGAGCGTACGTTTACATACGTGCATGGGTGCATACGTGCGTGTGTGCAACATTTGTGCTTGCTTTTTATAGCTGGGTTTTAGGTGATTTATATATGTAGGTATGTCATATTTATATTTTGTTTCATGTTTTTGCTTTTTCGCTTTAGCGTTTTTAATTTAAGTGCATGAGAGAAGAAGTGCTTAAGTTTGAGCTGGCGTTTGCTGTTTATCGCCATACACATTGACTACATCTACAAATAGAGTAAATAGAAAACAGAAACAAATATTGAAAATCTGTTACTTAGCAAATATTATTTTAGAATAATGTTACATAGCATTTCGCACTGTAAATAAGTAGTGGCGAGTAAGAGACAATCGAAACCAGATAACCGTTAACCGTAGAAAATTTATATGTTCATATATATAGAATATGTATGTATGTATGTGTGTGTGTGTACGTGTAAGCAAATTAATTTATATTCATAAGCAAAGAATCTTTATCTGCTCAAACCATAGATATAAGTTATATGGTCTCGATTGTGAAAAATACAAATAAACTTATATACAGACTAATTTTAATAACTATACATATGTACGTGTACCTCATTAAATAAGTAAATAAAAATATATGTATATATACAGCATATAGTGCCCGTAAGAAATAAGAAGCACTAATTAGAAAATGGAACTAAGTAACTAGACAAGAAAAAATGCAATAAGCAAAGTACTTCCATTTTTATACCATGAGCAGGATACATTAAGTTTGCAAGTTTGAAGAAATCTCGAAAACCAAAGTATATATGTATAACTGACCAGAGCGATGAATCGTGCCGGTTTAGACAAGCTCTACTCTCTGTTCATCTGTAACCAGCTCTCAATTTTTCAGATATTGAACTGAAATTTTGCACAAGCTCTTTTTCCTCAAGTAGCTGGTCATTCGTTGGAACAGTTGATATCATCCCAACATAGAATGTAGCTGCCATACAAACTGAACGTTCGAAATAAAGTGCTTGTATGGAAAACTTTTTCATTTGACGAGAGGTCTTCACGAAATTTGACATGAATTGTTAAGGGATCGTCTCAGTGTGAAATTTAAAAGAAAGAGAATTTTTCCTCATCCTCTCAAATTTTGAAATGGAAACACAAATTATGATGGTCGCTACAGAGTTTCTTGTCGAAAGGGAACAGAGTGAGGAACGTAACGAATACAATCTTTAAACGCATTTTTCTCATAATGGTGTTTTTCAAAACGGTTTCCAGTCTCAAAGGAAAAGTTTTGCAGATACCCAGTTCCAATTTGGAGAGAACATTTTGAACGTCATTCGCTATTGCACTTTCGAAGGCTTTTTTTTATAAATCTCCCCATTTTTTTCTAAGAAAAAGTGTCGAAAAAAGGGCAAAATTGGATACTATTTTTCAATTTTCAAAAAAAAAAAAAAAAAAACCCAGTTTCTCGTTGAGAAAACAAATATTCATTGAGATACACTACTAGTTCGAAATTTTAATATTATTCCAATTAAAAACTAAGAAAATTCATGTTTGAACATATTAACAACATAAAGTAAAAATTTTTCGGTCAAAAAACACTTTTTTCCATTTTTAAAAAATTTTAGTGTTTGACACTATTTTTGGAATTTTCTTAGTTTAACAAGAAGATAAGTTATTAATAAATATGAATCTCTGAGAATTCTTTCCCACATGCGAAATGCATCGGGCAATGGCTTCCTAAAGGCAGAATATCAAAAGATTTCGTATCCAAAAATTTTACGGATGATGTTTAAATATATTGGTTGTCAAAAAAGTCTTGCGGTATTTTCGCTAGTTGGCGCTGAGAGCGCGTAGTTCTAGTTTTATTCGTCGCATCGGGTCATGCTATACCTTTTTATAAAGCTCATTTTACGCGCTAACAAGTGTTTGATTGATTGTCGTTTCTTTTAAGTCGTTCGTGAGTTATAGCGTCGCTAACACGGAGCAAAATAAAGAAAAAATACGGCATATTTTACAGTACTACTGCGATAAAGGCAAAAATGCATCTCAAGCCGCCAATAAAATTTGTGCAGTTTGTGGACCCGATACAGTTTCCGTTTCCATCGCACAACGATGGTTGCAACGTTTTCGTTCTGGTGTAGAGGTGGTCGAAGATGCGCCACGCTCCGGAAGGCCTGTCGTCGAAAATTGCGATAAAATCACTGAATCGGTCGAAAGAGACCGGCATAGTAACAGCCGTAGTCAAGAGCTGGGCATGAGTCATCAAAATAAATTTTATGAACAATTGAAAATTCAATAAAAAATACCGCAAGAAATACCGCAAGAATTTTTGGACAACCTATTATAACGATAAACCCTAGAAATTTGGCTTTAATCAATTATTTCTCTCCCTCTCTCCCTAAAAAAAAATCTTAAGAAATAGAAAAATCGATTTTTTTGCCTCTAAAGCAGGCTCCTCCATTAAATACGCCGACAACATCTTCTAGTAGAGGACTATTTTTCTTATTGCCGTCGGAGATCGCGTAGAACACGATAATAGTTTTGTTCTTCAAAAATTTTAGTGCGTATTCTTTAAACACGCATAAATTACACCTTTTTAAACAATTTATGCCGTATTTTTATTAATCTTCAAAAGTCTATTTTTTCGAATGACACACTAGGTGTGCACTTGAAGATAATTTCCTTAACTCGTGAAATTATTGATAACATTTTAAGAAAAATGCATTTTTAAGTTACATACATTTATCATAGACTAACGATTCTTGAATTATTTTGGACGAAAAATCAGATGAAGTTAGAAAGAATAAAAAGTAATTACATCTTACATCAGTAATGTTGTACATGTTTGCCAAAATTACCACAAGTAGATCCATTTGCATAACCATTATATCGCAACCTGTATTTTCAAATATTTTCTGCCAAAATTTTTCTGAAATTTTTTTTGAAAATGATTCTTTGTCGCACTATGTACCCACACTATTTCATTTAATTTTGTGCCTATTTGTGAATTCATGAAACTCGCGCTTTCGCAAACTTCTAAAACAATTTCAAAATAAAGACCCGATTTTTTCACTACACTCTATGCGTCACTTCTTGCATTTAATAAGTTCCATGATCAGCAGAAAAGTTGACACTGCACATTTTGACGCGTAAATTTCACACTTTTTGCGACAATTATTTGGAAATGCCCTGTGCATATATTTTACATATACGCAGGTTAAAAGAAACTGCTATTGCCAGGTAGACCTTACTGAACTACCGCAAATTGCTGCTAAGCGTCGGCAAACTGAATTATTTACACACACTTTTTTAGTTGAGCTCCTCAAGACGTGAGTTCTAGCAACAGTTTTTTTTTTTTTTTAATTTATTTCCCAATTATTGTGATTTTTCTACATAGAACTTGTGCTTATTGACTTTTTTCTCTACAGTTGTGGTATTTTCAACTATTTTTGAATTGAATATGTTGTGTCACTCACCTGTGTTGACGCAGGTTGTCGCGTTGCTTGAAGTATTTGCCGCAGACCTCGCAGGAGTACGTTATCTCGGGTGATTTGTGGGTGCGCTCATGAATCATCAGATTGTAGGGTTTGGTGAAACGCCGCTGGCAATACTTGCAAATGAATTCACACTTTGGACGCATCTTGCGGCGGAAATCCGACCGGCAGTCATCGTTGTCGATTCTCATTACAGCGAACATTTTGTCGTTGCTTTTGGCTTTGCTGTTGCTATTGCTATTGCTGCTGCTGCTGCACTTGTGTGTGTGTGCCTATGTCTCGTTTTATTTCAGCTAAGCGCTTGTGCCTGTGTATGTGTGCACTCGACTTTCTGATTACGCTCGCGCTCCCCAATGGAACGATTATGGCTACTTGTATGCTTAGACAAAGCGCAAGCTCACTCAGCGCTGGCAATAATTAAAACAAGTAGTGAATAACACCGTTATTAGCCGCAAGGCGGGGGAGTCAATGTTGCACTCGCTATTTGCTGGAGAGACTACAAGACGAGTAGTCGACGTTGCGCGACGTGCGACGTATGACGCGCGGTGCTTAAACGAACAAATCAACTGATATCGCGACGTGCGGCGCGCTGACTGCTGGCTGAGTGCGCGTTAATTACCAGCGTATTAGTTATCTAGGCGTTCAGCGGTGCAGTGTGTGTTGGTGTCGCTCGCTGTAAATGTGTCGGCTGTTTTTGGTGCACTGGTATTGGTGCTGCGCAGTGTCGCTGTGTGCGTGCAATTGCGGCCGATAACAGCAATGACGCTGGGCGTTTTCCTTGCGCGGAGGGCGGAGGACTGTATGCGAAACGCTTTTCAACGAAGGCGACGTCGCGCTGTTCGTTTGTGTGCTCGTTGTGGATATGTTGTTTGTGTGTGTCGGTGCGTTGGTGGCGGCGAAGTGATTTAAATCGCTTCGCTTTGACACTTTATTTCTCGGCGGCCAGACGATTGTGTGTGTTGTAAGCGCACTTAATTCTAGTTGTTTGCAGTTGTTTCGTTGGCTGTTTAAGTAGTTGCTTACACACTTTTTGTTGCTACTTTTTATGATGAACGTCGTTGTCGTTAATATTTGTTGGCGCGCAGTTATTAGTGTTTTTCAGCTGTTGGTCTACCACCTTCCCTTACGTTGTGTAATAATGTTTAAACTTTGTTATTGTTGCTTTTCACGCACACTACTAAGCGTACGAGCCACTACACGTGCATGCGACTGTTGCTGCTGCTGTTGCTGTTGGTGTGGTGTGGTGTGTGTGTGTGTGTGGTTGTATGTAGGCGTTTTCGTTGGCTCGGTGGGCTGATGCTTTTATGACGGAAATCTACAAAGAAAACATACAACAACACAATAAAGTAAATATGAAAAAATAGTACATAATAAAATGGTAGATATTAAACGGTGCTATCAATAAAAATGGAACACAAAAGACATTAGCAACGCCTTTTCGTTGGCGGTGAAAGAGCAATAACAAAAACAACGCACGTGATAACCGTGTGGAAATCAAAATTAACAGCGAAATGGAGCTACAGCCGTGTTAGACAGCACATCTATGCATACATGTATGTATGTATAGATGTGTATACTGTAAATTACTTATACAAGCACAAGGCAAGCGGGAGTTTGAAGTAAAGGAATGGACTTTACTGTTATAGTTGTATATAAATACATAAATATGTATTTAAATATGTGTATCAGATAATATTTCAGTGGAAATATTCCAAATTATTTACTAATTGGTATTTAATATGAAATTTTCATCACCTGAAATGCAAAATAACATATCATCAAAAAATCCATATTGATTTTTTTATTGCTTACGATTCACTACAACATATTACATACATACATATATACATATTTGCATATGTACTCGTATGTATAAAACTTTCAGCTTCCGTTGAAAGATATAACCAATATATAACTATTTTATAACCAAAACTCAAATTTTCTTTCAATATGAGTGGTTTTCTAGTACATGTATGCATACATACATATATGTAACATGTACGTGCGTAACTTCATTAAAAGTCGAAATAAATCCCCAAAAATACTGACAATCGAATTTTAAATTATGACACTTTCAAGTCAATAAAACCGCAATATTAGATTTGTGTCCCTGATATGAAAATTAGCATTGAGCAACTTCTGTTGCGCATTTCTCACTATACATATACATACGTACATCAGTGGATTTTAGTTACATACATACCAATTTAGAAACATTTGTAAATCATAAAAACCTCAAATGGTCAGCTATTGGTGAGCTATAAGTAACTGCTGGGCTGGTTGCAATGAGTCAGCGTTGTATTTGCGTAAATATATATCTACATATGTATATAGACACATGTGTATGTATGTATGTGCATGTATGAAGATACGCATATAAAATTTTATTTTAGTGCGAATGCTATTTCGGCAGTTTATTCGCCTAGTCACCGTGTCAAGTCTGCAGACCTTTGAAAAACCAACCACATGATGCGTCATTTCTGCAGACTAATTATCTTACTCAAAGTTTTTACTTTCAAATATACTGAATTGGATTTATGGCGTTTTAGATTGCACTACCATTATGGATATATGTATGTAAATATGTATATAAATATGTATATAATTTCCATGCGAAAAATAAAACCGTTGGCTATAATAACCTTCGCAGTTGCATTCCTTATAATATATGTATAAAAGTATACAAAGTGGTTAATCTTCATTTTCATTGATTAGTTTTATAGCAGTTATCGTCATCGTTATATCGCCAATTAAAAAGGTTTTTCATACAAGGACATAACATTGACCACTCAGTTTGTATGGCAGTTATAAGCTATAATAGTCCGATCTGAACAATTTGCTCGAAGATTGTTGTGTTGGTATACAGAAATTTCTGTGCCAAATTTCGTGGAGATATCGCGTCAATTAAAAAAGGTTCCCATACAAGGACTTAACTTTGATCGCTAAGTTTGTATGACAGTTATTTGCTAAAGTAGTCCGATCTGAACAATTTCTTCAGAGATTAGACGTTTGTTTTGGACAATAACACATACCAAATTTCGTTAAGATATTTCGTCAATTGAAAAAGTTTTCCATACCAGCTCTTGATTCGAAGCTTTCAGTTTGTATGGCAGATATATGCTATAGTGGTTCGATTTTAGCGATTCTGACAAATAATGGCATCTTAGAAAGACAGGGATGTGTGCAAAACTTTAAATCGATATCTTAAAAAATAATGCACTAGTTAGCATATATAGAAACAGAGAGGAGAATAGACGCATATGGCTCAATCTACCATACATAGCTCGTCACTCTAATCCCTTAAGATATTAAACCTTCAAGTCAAACTTAATATAGTCTAGTAAAAGTACAAAAAAGTCACAAGAAATTATGAAAATGTCGATACTGCACTCATGCATATGCTTAACTGTAACAATAACTTTGCTCATAAATAATTTACTTCACAGCAGTAAATGGTCGCGTTATTTTAGACAAAAGATAAATCAAAACACCCGCAAAAGTCGCAACATTGTCAAGCAGCCGAGCGCGAATTTGCATAAATATTTCATGTTAATGTTAAGTTGTAAAGCTCCCATGCTGACCTCCCTCCTCAGAGTTAAGTTAAGTTCGCTGAGTTCGCACCTGCTGCGCATGAAAAAAAAACGCTCAAAAGCGCAGATTCGCCAAGTTAATAACATTTGCTCAACGGTTTAATGGAACTGTAATTATTAATTGCTAGCATTGTGCATAAAAAGTTGCCAAGCATAAAAACCCTGTGTAATTGTGCGCATGTGTGTGGGTATGGAAACGTGAGGGCGTTAAATTTCAATTTAAATGTCCTTTAGCATATTACAAGTGTTGCTGTTGTTGCCGCCGCTTGGCCGCGCCAACCAACAGTTCAGCACATGCATGATTGCATTTGTGAAATTGCGGCCCCGCGACGCCCCGCGCTCCGCAAAACCTTGCACATGTGCGCAGCGGCAGCATTAATGTAAATATTAACGGTAAGCAATGCCAACAGCAGCCATCAGCGGTCACCGCTATCGCCACCGCAACTACCACAAACACCACCGGCACCGCAACACCGTTTCGCTCGTAAATTGCAATCGAGCCAGCAGTAGTCAGACATTCTTTGTCTTTACTTGATTTTATTTAGTCGCCACGCTGCTGGAGATCGCCAAAACGCCGAATGCGGCGTTCAATGCCATTGTTTTAAATGATATGATATGAAATGTAATACTCATATAGAAATATCCACTTATAAAGGTATAAGGCATGTCACATAATAAAATGATGCAAATAAAAGCGGCGCATGCGCATATACCATAACGAAATGTGTGCGGATTAAGCTGATTTTGGCGCTTGAGCGCCACTCAGAAGCCTTCGAAGCAAATATAAAATGATAAAGTGTAGAAGCAAAAACAACAAAGATGCGATGTATGTATGTATGCATGTGTGTGTGCGTGATTTGCAGGCGCAYGTAAGACAATTCACACAGCAAAGCTGCAAAGGTGCAACCACACAGTGACACTTGGTGCTGAAGGAGCGCGTCCAATGTGACTTCAACGAATTTATAAGCTGCGCACAGCTGGGTGTAAAGCGCGTTGACTGCCTCTAGCTGTTGGAGCCGCTAACTTTGCGCTAAATTGCCGCTGCTGTTTTGTTGGCTTCAATTTAACTTTTGTATTTTTGTATTTGTTGTTGTTTTTGCTTTTGTCGCATTGAATGGTAAAAGTGACGTTGTTTTTAGACCACAGCGGGGAGTGCTTCCCGAAAATCAGCAGCAACAAAGCAAGCAGTAAATGAAAAATGGCGCATGCAGACCCTTACGCAAGCAAACAACAACAAAAGGTAATAATAAAATGTGGAAAAAAGCACTAAGAACAAAATTATGAATAAATAAAAGTATCTGAAGCACGAACATCACAGCGCTCCCACAATGTACACAAAAGCACGTCACTAACGCCACTGCCGTCACCGCCGCTGCCACCGCCACAGTCGCGCATAGCGCCAGTACAGACGCCAGTGTCACCACAATAGCCATAGCAAAGCGTTGGCACTGGAGTTGGGCAACATGCGGCACATGCATGTGTTTGCTGCGACAGCTTAAGCAGTTAATCCCCCTTTCGCTACGCTCCACCGAGAAATCGCCGCGCGCATAATGGCCAACCTTTTCTCAAACGAAATTGACCTCTGGCGCTGTGTCGCTTATTGTTATTACAATATTAATGTCCACAAAATAAAAGCGACACTGACTTGGCTGCTGACCAAGGTCTCAACTGGAGCGTGTGCACACACACATACATCCCTTGGGAGACACGCACCCGCGCTGCCGTAGAAAAGCTGCGCTATTTGAGGAATGCACATGTGTGTGTTCGCATGTGTGGGAAATAAGTGTGTGTTGGTGCAGTGGCCCCAAGTGGTAAGTGGTCCCAACTATGCCATTCATAATTTTGTGTACACAATGTGGCGTCACATTGGCATTTTGTCGCCGTTAATCATGCAACTTATTACCAAGCGGGCGCCCCACTATTAAAGGCCACTTCACATTCATAGTTATAACCATACTTAAATGCTAACGTACACACATCCATACATACATACATATATACATATTTATGAAGTATGTTGTATGAGTGTGAGTATGAGTGCTCGCATAACTTTATGTTGCTTTCATTTCATATTTCCATTTTATTTGTTTGAGACCTTTATTGTTTATGGCTACTCCCTCTACTTAGGTTATTTGACTACTCTTTTATTATTATATATGTATATATACTTTTTTTTATTTTATGGCAGCAATGCCGCACTTTAGTCCCAAGTTCTCCTATCCAACTTGAGCAGCGCAGTGTTTTTTTTTTTTTTTTTTTTTTTTTTTTTTTTTTTTTTTTTTTTTTTTTTTTTTTTTTTTTTTTTTTTTTTTTTTTTTTTTTGTTTCCAATTAATGTGTAGGCTGCAAGTGAAACGCTCATATTACAGGTGTAGGTAGGCTCGTATGTAAATCTTAAAATTGGTCCGCACGAACCGCATTAAAGAACGAAATGAAGAAACGGGAGTGAACTCGTAAAGTAGTTATGAAAAACTATTAAAAAATTAGTTTAGATTATGTAAATTTGAATATTCTCTTAATAGGGGTGGAGCCACGATCATTTAACGAACTGCCACCGCGAGTAAATACCTTCGATTAGTGAGCTACCTGGAGATTGCTGGTGTTTTCCATACCTACCACTTCATTAGTAAGCACTCAATCCTTTTAGTTTGGTTTATGCACTGCATATTTTAACCGTTTAAGTGCTACTAGAACCTTTTTTCTCTTTTCATAAAAATTGAGGTTAT